CCCTGGTGCAGATGTTGGACCTTTCAGTTCTACTTCAGTCTTTTTGATTAGGCCAAGAGAAAGCTAGTTTGGTACAAGTTTGTCTTAAATGTCTCCCTAATAAATACATGTTAATCTATTCAGTAAAAAGAGAAGTGTATCTAACTAGAAGTTTTTCAGTTTGCTTTTTAATGCATTTATTTTTATAGCTACTATCTATTTGTGGCATATGATAAGTGTTTTGCACTTATGGTTATAATGAAGCTTCCAGTTAAAATTTTTTTTTGTATTAAATTGTTTTAAAAATTAGAAGTCATGGGGACGCCTGGGTGGCTCAGTCGGTTAAGCGTCTGCCTTCGGCTCGGGTCATGATCCCAGGGTCCTGGGATCGAGTCCCGCATCGGGCTCCCTGCTCCGCGGGGAGCCTGCTTCTCCCTCTGCCTCTGCCTCTCTCTCTCTCTATCTCTCATGAATAAATAAATAAAATCTTTAAAAAAAATTAGAAGTCATGTATTTTCTATATTTTCTTTCCATTCAAAAATAACTCCTTCCATTTAAGTTCCTTTTGCTCCCACTCTCCCCCACCTTAATCCCCTATTTCTGCAAAAACTGGGAAGGCTCATTATTAGCAGTTGTAGAGCAAGGTGTGGAGATTATTATTTTTTATCTTTTTTTAAGATTTTTAAAAAAGATTTTTATTTATTTGAGAGAGAGAGAGAGCGCGCACACGAGCATGAGCAGGGGCGGGAGGGGCAGGAGAGGGACAAGCAGGCTTTCCACCGAGCAGGGAGCCCGATGCGGGGCTCGATCCCAGGACCCTGGGATCATGACCTGAGCCGAAGGCAGCCGCTTTAAGACTGAGCCACCCAGGCGCCCTAAGATTTTATTTTTAAGCAATCTCTACACCCAGTATGGGGCTTGAACCCACAACCCCGAGACCAAGAGTTGCATACTCTGCCAACTGAGCCAGCCAGGTGCCCGTAGAAATTATGATTTTTTAATTTAAAAAATTAAAACAATAAAGCTACAATTTACAGTCATTTTGATTAGAGAAATAGAGACACTACAATCTGCCATAATTAGCCATTCTTAAACAGCTACCATATCATTTTTCTTTCCTGTTTTTTTCTCATGTGCATTTTTTCTAATAATGATAGTTAACATTCATTGAATATTTTTTATGGGTATTCTTAGCATTTTACATGTTTGATCTTCTGAACTATTTTATGATATAGATACTGTTATCCCTATTTTGCAGATGAGGAAACTGAAGCATGGTAAAATTAAGAAACTTGCTATAAGAACTTGAATCCAGGGAATTGGTCTTCTATGGCCTATAGTTTTTTTTCTTTTTACCTAACCCTTATAAATATTTTCCTCTTGCTAGTTCTCAGACTCTTTAAGAAATAACTTTAATTCAGTATAATTTATATAAAATTTAAATGCACCCATTTTATTTTATTTTAAAGATTTTTATTTATTTATTTAACAGAGATAGAGCACAAGTAGGCAGAGCAACAGACAGAGGGAGAGGGAGAAGCAGGCTCTCCACCGAGCAGGGAGCCCGATGCGGGGCTCCATCCCAGGACCCTGAGATCAAGACCTGAGCCAAAGGCAGATGTTTAACAGACTGAACCACCCAGGTGCCCCTAAGATTTTATTTTATTTATTTTTTTAAAGATTTTATTTATTTATTTGACAGAGAGAGAGTGAGAGCACAAGCCAGGAGACAGAGGGAGAAGCAGGCTCTCCACCGAGCAGGGAGCCCGATGCGGGGCTCGATCCCAGGACCCTGGGATCATGACCTGAGCCGAAGGCAGCCGCTTAACCAACTGAGCCACTCAGGCGCCCCTAAATGCACCCATTTTAAATGTTCAGTTGATAAATTTTGATGAATGCCTATACCTAACCACTATAATTAAAATTCCCAGGGCGCCTGAGTGGCTCAATCAGTTAAGCAAGCATCCGCTTTCGGCTCAGGTCATGATTTCAGGGTCCTGGGATCAAGCCCCACATTGAGCCCCACATCGGGCTCCCACTCAGCGCGGAGTCTGCTTCTCTCACTGCCCCTGCCCGCCTGCTCATGCTCTCTCTCTCTCTCATAAATAAATAAAATCTTAAAAAAAAAAAAATTCCATTGCCCTAACGAGTTCCTTCGTGACCCTTCCAAGTTATTTCCTTCCCCACTCTCCACCAGGCAAGCAGTAATCTGCTTTCTATCACTGTTCTAATTTTTCTTTTTACTTTCTTTTCCACCCACAAGTTTAGAAATTTAGAAATGAAATGTTTAATTCTCAAAATTTGTGAATTTTTCAAGTATCTTTCTATTCATTTCTAATTTAATTTAACTATTGTGGTTAGAGAGCATACTTTATATGGTTTCAGTTCTTTCAGATTTGATGATTTTGGTTTGTAGCCCAGAATGGAGGTCAGGGAATATCATTTAAAGGGCCAGATAGAAAATATTTCAGGCTTTGTACTCAAAGCCTGCTCACAGGCTCCACTGCTCAACTCTGCTGTTGTAGCATGAAATACATAATATATGAATGGGAATGTTGAAATCTCTAACTGTGTTAAGGGTTTGTCTGTTTCTCCTTTCATTTCTGCCAGTTTTTGCTTTGTATATTTTGGAGCTCTGTTGTTAGGTGCATACACTCTTAGGATTATTACGTCTTTTTGGTGGACTGACTGCTTTATCATTATGTAACGTCACTCTCTATTCCTAGTAATACTCTTTGTTCTGAAGTCTTCTTTTTCTGATAAACTTCCCTAGTTCATGTCTCTCAGGATTCACACTCCCATACTGCCTGAGATCTAATATCTGAAAAAAGCTATTATATTTTGTCTAGTTTTCTAATTTTCTGAAGAGGATAGGTAAGTCTAGTCCCTATTATTCTATCATGGCTACAAGCAGAAGTCCGTAACTGTCTTTTTAACAGATGTACAACCTGCCATCTGTGGTTATTCCCTTAGCAAAGCAAAGACCACTTAGTTTGCTTGCTTTCTTTTATCATTTTTTTCTATCATAAACAATGTAATGGCATCTTAATGGCTATAGTTTTTCGCTATTTTGATTAATTCCTTGGAGTGATTCCAGAAAGTAGAATCACTGAGTCAAAAATTGTAAATACTTTAATATATTTTGAAATATATTGTCATTTATTTTCTAAATATACCTTCCAATAGCTTTCCAAAATTACCAGTTTACAGTTCCATAGCTGTATATGAGATAAAAGTTTCACCAGTGTTAACATACTTATACTTAAAACAATCTATATAATTGCTTTAAAGTTTTTTTTTTAATTCTAGAAAGACTGCATGTGCTTTTATATGTATTCTTGTATTGTTTTTTCTTTTTATCTGTATCTTTTGCTTATATGTCTACTAGGATGCCAGTATTTTTTTTTTTTAGAATAAAGGTATACTTATTTGTGGCAAATATTTTTTTACAGTCCATTGATTGCCTTTTACATCTTTTCAAAATGTAACCATATCTGTCCATCCTTTGTGATTTCTTCTATAGCTTATAAGTTTTGGAAGTCCTCTCCAGGTTTGGTAAATATTTAATTATATATTTTTTTCATTCAACAAATATTAGCCAGTCATTATACTAGGCGTTGAGGACATGGTACAGACCAAAATAGAAATGACCTCTGATTGTATGGGACTAGGAGAAGGTGAATATTTGCAAGGGCTGATAATCTAATTCTAGCTTCCTACTTGGCTGGAGAGAAGTCTGTTAATAAAGCACCCAGGACACCTATTCTGTCATTTTTTAAAGATTTTTTTTTTGGGGGGGGTGCAGTAGTGTGAGAGTACAGCTTAAACCTTTTTTTTTCAAATTGCCACCTATTTATTACAATATCATTTATTGGATAGGTGCTTCCATCCATTGATTTAAGGGATTTCATTATCTCTATAATATATAGACACTATAAAGTATTTGTTCTGGAGTCAGGCTAACCTGTGTTTAGATACCTGCTCTCCACTCACTAGCCAAGTGACTTTGGACATGTTGCTTATCCTGTTTGAACTTTTGTTTCTTTGTCTGTAAAGTAGGGTGGCAATATTATCTATTATGAACTATAGTGACAATTAAAAGCAAAAGGGTTAACACTTTTTAAAAAGGTACTGCATTATTCTTGTCAGGTGATTGTGATGAAAAATTGCCCTATACATGGTAACATGATGTTTCTACTTAGGTGGAGGCAAAAAAAAAATAATGCTTGGTATGAAAATGAGTTGCATTAAGAAAAAGCTCATAAAAAACGGTCGTTTTCATTTAATTTTTTTGCTTCTGAGCAAGGTGCAAGCATATCTACGTCAGTGTTGGAGGGTGTGTGTTTTATCATTAGCTTAGTGGATTTGAATTCCCAGCTCATGTAGGTGGGTGGAATTTGTATGAGTCTGCTCAACTTTAGATTAAAAAAAAAAAAATCACAGAACTCTGTGAAGGTCTTTGATCCCAACTTCCTTGTGTCTCTCACATGCCAGGTGCATTACTGGTCTTGGGCCTTGTGACACTTTGATATCTTCTTATCCTGACCTCAACTTCATACCTGTTCATTCTTGCTTCTGGTCTTGGTCATGGGTCTTGGCTAATTCTGCTCCTAGACACATGAGGATCCTTCTCTGGGTTTGTCTTCCTTTTCACACTCTCAGGAAGTCCCCTTGCAGGATTTCCAGATTTATAGGGAGCAGCAGTAGCAGTGGGTGGAAGGAATACTGGGAAGGTGGAATGGTAGGCTGGGGAAAGGGGGAGAGCCTTGTGTCCAGTGCTTGCCCACCTCGTGGTTCTCAGCTCCTCAGCAAAAGCTTTGAGGGAGACGAGGAGAAATGGGAACTTCCTTTAATCCTAAAATGAATGTTTTTTTTCTTTTTCAGTCTTAAACTAGATTTTCAACTCTGATCTGTCCGTTGGTTGACACCTCTCACCTTCACAGGTCAATAAGAAAGAAACCATTTTGGGGGAAGTTCTCAGAGCGTTTGCAGCTAACATAATTAGGAGGAAGTTTCAGAAGCAGCGGATGTTGGTAGCTATGCCAGGATGAAAATGGTTATATTTTAAGCATGATGTCATCCCCTGAGCAAAGTGAAATAAGCCAGAAGGCAAATGTAGACAGGTATGCCCAATTTGTTTTAAAGTTCCAGAAACCCATTCAGCCTTACATCTGCTCAACTCTGAATGACTTTCAAGAAGACAGAGACTTTTTGGCAAACTACATATTTCCTCAGCTTAATGAACTCTGCAGTTCCCGGGGCACATATTTCAAAGCCGTAGACCTGAGGTGGCTGGCGTTGATGGCCCCGCCACCCTTATCCTCCAACCTGTTTAGACAGCATTCTTGTCTCCACTCCCAGTATCTGAAGCTCTGTCTCGACTATGTGAACACCTGCTTTCCCTTTTTCATCTGCATGCTGGGTCAGACATATGGGGACTTTCTCCCTGAGTACGTGCCTTTACTGTTCTCCAAAGCAACTGACTTGTCAAGTTTATCCACAGTAGAGCAGAATCTCTATGTTGCTGCAAAAAATGGTTATCCTTGGGTCCTGGAGAGTCCCAACTACAGTTTGACGGAGCTTGAGATCATCCAAGCAGCATTTCTGAATGAGTCTCAATTTCAGTATTTTTACTTTAGGACCGGAACCACGCTGCTGAAGACTTTAGATGAGGAAAAAGAGAGGCTGTCCTCAGGCTCTCTGAATGACGAAGAAAAATTAAAGATCGGAAAACTTAAGGCCAAGATTATTAGCAAAGGACTCCCTGTCCGATTTTATAAAGATCTCCACGAGTTGGGTGAGCTGGTTTTCAAGGACTGGTCAGTTGTGATAGAACAACTTTACCCAGCCACTTTAATGATTGAAAATATGGGTGAGTAACTATGGAGATAGCTAAGTCTATTATCAACATAAAGTTAATATGTTTTGCATGTCTTCCTTGTAAGAGGACTTTTGAAATGATTGAAAATATACCCTAAGCATTTAAAATTGTTACCATATTTCTATAACATGCATTTCTCCACTTGAAGATTTTTGAAACTGGAAATTAGAGCAAATAAAGGATCATGGAAGATTATTTAGGAAGTCCAGGAGCTCGGAGAAGACCTCAAATATCTGGCAGTCCCCCTACGGGACATTTGGCCTCGTCTGAAGTCATTTTGGTGGCAGAATTGGGGGGAGTGCTCCTGGCATCTTAAGGGGTGGAGGTCAGGGATACTGCTAAACATCATTCACCCTTACTACTCAGTAATCCGTGGACCGGCAGCCTCAGCATTACCTAGGAGCTTGCTAGAGAAGCATTCCAAAACTACTGAATAAGAGTTTACATTTTAATAAGATGACCAGGTGGGTTGCATACACATAAAGTCTGAGAAGCACAGCTTGCCATTCTGCCTCTAAATGAAGTGATTACATTTATTTTTGAAAGTAGTGTCTTGTAGACACATAGAAAGAAATGGCAGAGCAATATTAGAGTATGGCAGAGATTTTTCACCTAGACAGACTTTGGGAGGGGTCCGTGGTGCCCTTAAAATTACATAAAAAATAGTATGTTTACATGCATAAGAATGTAAGAAGATGGCCTGTGTCTTTGATCAGATTCTCAAAAGGTGAGAATGACCTTTCAATGAGAGTGACCTTTTTCAGTGACCTAAAAAAGGTTATGAATTACTGTTGTAAGGGCCCAGTGAATGTGAGATTGCAAAGTGACGGCAGGTGGTGCATTCCCAAATGATTTCAGGGGCCAGGTAGGCAATGGTCCTTATGATAGGGAGCAGGTGGATCTGCGGCGAACTGAACGGACAGAGTTGACTCACCTAAACTCATTCGAATGCAGTGTTGGTGGGGAGGGAGGTGGGTGGTGAAATCCCACTGGTGCCGATCAACTCTGCCTACAAGCCAAATCCTTTTGGAGTCCTGGAAAAGAATATTGTGTCAATCATCTCTTTGGGTTGCAGGTGACTCAAATTGGCTTTAACAAAAAGGGAATTTATTAGCTTATATAACTTTAAAGCCTAGGATTAGGTCTGGTTCAGCTCAGGTTTCAACCAGTGGCTCAAAAGATATTACCTGCCCTGGTTTCTTACTATTTCTCAGCATGGCTCTGCTCTCCTGATACTGCCGCAATTCGGTGGCTCCTCCATCGTGGAAGGAAGATGGCTGTAGTAGCTGCATGTTCAAGTCCAGCAGAAGTGGCTCAAAGTCCGAGCATCGAGTCTTTCTGTCTCTGATTAGCCTGCCTGGGACCATATGCTTGTATCTGACTTAATCACTGGTGCCAGGTGATGCTCTGATTGGCTCATCCTGGGTCATGTGCCCCCTTGAGCTGGAGGTGGAGTCAGACCCACTGGAATAACATGAACTGAGAGTTGGGACAGGTGGGATACCGGATGGTAATCTGGGGCTGTTATGGAAACTAGGGTAGGGTGAGTGGTTGAGTGTCAAAAAATATCCTGAATATTTACTACAAGCTTGGAGTTTTAGAATGTCTAAGGACACACACGATCTCAGGTTTTTCAGTTCCTAGCTGTGTGTGACCTTGAGCAAATGACAATATTGGTAAGCCTTAGTTTCTTCTTCTACATAATGAGTTAACATTAGCCGCCTTGAGAGTAATAATGTGTGTAAAATAGCTAAAAACAGTGCCTGACGCATATTAGGCACAGAGTAAATAGCTGATGAGAACGAATAGCAACAAATGAGTCCTGGAAGAATATATGCATTTGGCTAAAGCTTGAAATATGGTTAATAGTGATTTTCTTTGACTAATCTCAATCTGACCTGCATTTATAGATTAATATTTCCTAATGTGCTCAAGAATCAAGTCTGTCTGTGTATTTGGGTTAGAGACAAAGGTATTTCTCCATCGTATTCTCCTTAGCCTTTGATTTTAGTTATTGAAAAATTAGGTTGCTTTACACTTAAGTTTTGAATGTATAATATGTGGACTGAATGTGTGAATTAGAAGTTACAGAATTATAAAAAAGGCTTTAGAAGTGCTATATTATTTTTCTTCTGTATTTTTGCTACCCTCTAGTCACCCAGGTAGTTCCAAAATCTGATGGGGTTGGGGGGCAGTTAACAAAAGGCCATTTGGGAAGCCGGTGGTTATTGTAAGGCAATGTAGAGCTATTGGTTTATGCTCTTAACACATAGAAACACTTCTGAGGTCCTTGAAGATACTTGAGTTTAGTGGGTGAGGTTCAGGTTTATCTCAAGAGACCCAGGCAACTGTGGGATCATTCCCAATTCTGTCTAAGATCTTGAAATTTGAAGCTGATTTTGGCCAGACTGTAGGTCTTCCAGATCTATTTGGCTTTAACCAGAACCAGAGGGCAACCCAGTTAACTGTGGAGGCACAAGGGGCATCTTGGGAACCTACCAGGTCAACCTACCTAGCGTTCATTTTCTTGCATAACAGCCTCCCTCCATTAAAAGCGAAAACAAAACCTTGGGGGATATAAGTGTCTTCAGAGACAGAAGGGCATTTTGGCAGTCCAGAACACCTTGACTTTAATTAAACTATGAGTTTAGAATTACAGTAAATTGAAACAAGAAGGAATCGCTCAGAGATCCAAGCATCTAGCCCTGCCCCTTATTTTACCAGAGAGTTTAAGGGACTTGCCCAATGGCAGAATTACATCTGTACCCATGGTTGTCATTGTATTAGGGCATCTTGTCCAAAAATACACCCCGTTCTCCCAACCCCTGCCATGGATAGACATATATACATTTGCCACAAGATTGAATTAGGTAACTTCATACTTAGATAACAATCTAAAAAAGATGAGGAGATGTATTTAGCAAATCCAGTTTTTGATTTTTTTGGGGGGGGCCCTTGTTATTCTGAGGTCAAGAAATAACTTAGAATCCTACGTAGGATTTCATATACAAATAGCTTTAGGAAGATTAAATTACTTGCCTATTGTCTGCTTTCATTAGAATACGTAATGGGCTGTGAAATATGGTGCCAACATAAAAAGAAGGTGATACGGATACAGAAGGGGAGATACCTTCCTGGGCATTTATAATAACCATATGTAATGGAAAATGTGAAATAAATCTAAGGTACTAAAACTTATTTTTTTGTCTATAAAGACTATAAGCACAACTTTGAACGTTTCTATCATGAAGAGTTTACTGAGAAGTGCAAGCAAGTGTTTGTTATTTCCAAGGAATCAAGTAGAACCTTCGAAATCTTGGAAAGATTTGCCTTAAAGGATGTGGGATTTGATTTTAACAGTGCCGCAGCAGGTTCCAGTTTAGACTCTATTCTCAGGTAAGATATCAAGAAATCTCCAGCCTTTTTAGGCTTGAGCAAAACAGCCTGTCTTGAGTGAATATGATCCCTCAAATTTCAACTGTCTTCCCCCACCTCCCCTTTTCTGTGCCCATCCTTTCCTGCAAGAGAGGCCCCTGAAAAGCCACCCTTGGTTTAGAATTTCCTTATCAGATATCACTCTGCGTTTGCAAAGTTTTCCTGGCTATTTCACTTCCTTTCTTCTAGTCTCCTCAAGGAGATTATAAACTCTGGAGGGCAGAGCTTGCCTCCCCACCGCGCACCCCTGATCTCAGTTGGTCTAAGTAATTCCTGACAATGATGGAATGACTTTAAGGAGAAGAAATTAGATCAGGAAAAATAAATAATGCATCTGTACAGTGTTGTATATTTTACAAAGAGCTTCCACATACATCATCAGCTCATTATTAATTACATTAAGATATTCAGCTAACGCTCATTGACTGCCTACTCTGGGCCACATTATTATTTGTGTTTGTGTATGGAACTGAATTATCTTACCCAACATATGCACTCATTGTTTTATCCAGTGTCCTCCACATCAAAACCCCTATATCTCTCCCCACCTGGCACGGTGGCATACTCTGTTCATCACCTCCAGGCAGGAAAAGGCTGGGACGTGAAGTAGGATTCGGGTTGTCTACAGTGTCCCTCTCTGTCTCACCCGTAGAAATAGGGAGATTCTTGAGATAGTTTTCTTTCTTCCATCCTCCTCTTCCTCCTCCTCCTCCTCCTCTTCTTACAACAGATCTCCTTTATTTTCTGAGTTTTGTATTTTGAAAGAAACCCACCACAGCGGCTGGGATGGCTCAGCCCCTCTCCCTCCACCATCTCCACCACCTCTGCCCCAGTCTCTGCACCCACCATTTTAGCCCACTGAGGTGTAGAGCTACCAACATTTTTGTGGTTCTGGAAACTCGTGCCAAGAGGAAGACGAGTTATTTGGTTAATACAACATGGAGTTCGGGCAAGGCTTTTAAAACTTAACAGGGTTTGAATATATAGGTCATGTGTTAAAAAAAAATCTTAGGTTTGAATAGGCAAATCCATAGAGACAGAATCCATAGAGACAGAAAGTAGGTTAGTGGCTGCCAGGGTATGAGAGAAGAGGAGAAACAGGAAATGACTCCTGGTGGGTCTGGAGTTTCTTTCGGGGGTGCTGAAATTGGTTTGGAATTAGTGGTGGTATTTATATAACCACGTGAGTACAGTAAAAACCACTGAGTTGTACACTGTAAAATGGTGAGATTTTGGTATGTGAATTATATCTCACGTAGGTTATAATTTGAGTATTTCAGAGTAGATGAGAAATTTGATGATTTTTATTGCAATGAAACGAGTCCAAATGTGCCCAATTAAGTATAATAATGAAACAAGTCCTTTGAAATTAGCTGTGTGGAAACAGGACTTTGCCATTTGGAAACAATACTTTGTACTGTAAGTTCCTGAATCACATGTATAGGTAACAGAAAGGGGTGTTCTTTTGAAGTTTCAAAACATTGTCTTAACAACTGACCATCTGGAACAATAAGCACAGATTGCTTTGCAATGTTTTCATTTTCTATTTGTTCTTAAGAAGAAATCATTCAGACCCTAGCCTAATTATGTGGATGTATTTTATTTGTATTTTTCCTTCGTTGGTTTTACCTGCCAAGAGCCAAGGAGTGTCCTAGACACAGGGAATGTAGCAGTGGACAAAGAGACAAAACCCCCTGCCTCCACAGAGCTTACATTATGGAGCTAGGCAACAAACATGGCAAATATGGAAAACATATAATGGGTTCGATGCCTTTAGTGCGCTATGGAGCAAAATATAAAACCTTGAAAGGGAATAGGCTATCTGGTAGAAGTGGCCTTTGGCTAACTACTGGAAGCAGGTGAGGGAGCAAGCTATGCAAATATGGATTGGACAAGCATTCCAGACAGAGGGAACAGCATGCACAGAGGTCCCGAGGCTGGAGGAATGGCAGGGAGGCCAGGGAGCTGGAAGGAAGTCAGGGCTGTAGGGAGGGCGGTAGGGAATGAGGGTGGACATGTAATGGATGGGGGGTGTGTGGGTCTTGTCTAGTCTCATGGGTCATTGTAAGGACTTGGGCTTTTTACTACTTTTACCACAGAGCAGTGACTTATGTCATGTATTTTGACAAGCAAACTCTGGCTGCTTGGCTGAGGAGAGACCAAAAGAGGGCAAAGGTGGAGGTAGGACACAAAATCAGATTCTGCCATTCAAATTTGATGGCAATGCAATTAAAGCAGTAACACATTGACTCCTAATTCATAATAATGGAGGTGGAATTCTTTTTTTTTTTTTAAAGGTTGACTCTTCTAAGATATTGTTTAGAAAAGTAGCAAGTTGCTTTTTTTTTTTTTTGAGATTTTATTTATTTATTTGACAGAGAAAGACAGCAAGAGAGGGAACACAAGCAGGGGGAGTGGGAGAGGGAGAAGCAGGCCTCCTGCAGAGCAGGGAGCCTGATGCGGGGCTCGATCCCAGAACCCTGGGATCATGACCTGAGCCGAAGGCAGATGCTTAATGACTGAGCCACCCAGGCGCCCCTCTTTTTTTTTTTTTTTAAAGATTTTTTTTATTTATTCATGAGAGAGAGGCAGAGGGAGAAGGAGGCTCCCCGCTGAGCAGGGAGCCTGACGCGGGACTCGATTCCAGGACCCTGAGATCATGACCTGAGCCGAAGGCAGACACTTAACCATCTGACCCACCAGGCGCCCCTGGAGGTGGAATTCTTATGGAGAATTTCTATTTAATGATCCTAACCTTCTTTAGGTTTCCTATTTTAATGATCTTCAGACTGATCCTCTTCCTTTGCTGAACCCGAATGTCAGGATTATTTATTTGATTTCATTCACTCATTCAACAATTTATGATCAGTTACTGTGCCAGTCACAAGCTAATAACGAGTGAGGTAAGCCTGGTAACTGCCTCCGTGGAACTTCCATCCATAAAAAAATCACAAGGCACATATTTATTAAATCACAAATGTGTGAGGAACAGGGTTGGAATCTGTCTGTAGTGATACCAGTGGACCTGGGAATCCTCTGCATATCTGGGAGTTCTTCACCGCCAAAGTTAAGCAACGGGACAGGTTATGGTGCGCTCACGCCGGTTCAGAGAAATCACATTTCTGCAGTACTATGGGCTGCAACACTCTGGTAGAGGAGCAGGCTACGTCTTAGTGAGTTACTAATAGTCGTGGTAATTTCCAGTGTCATGGGAATCAGGATTAATGGGAATCCCTGGCATATGAATGCTTCTATTTTTTATTCTCTCCTGATATGATGTTATATGGAGGGCCAGTCTGGCGATGGTGGCTATGACCTCAGGAAGTTATGGATAAGCAGGGCAGATACAAGGGCGGTGGACTGCTGTGGAGAGTCTCCCTCCCTGGGCCTTTGGGCAGGTTGGGCCCTTGATGAACCCCAGGTTAACATTGGACAACCCTAGGATCTGTGTAGCTGGAAGGGCCTTCTAAGGTTACCATCTCTCGACTGTTCTAATTTTACATAGGACAGAGCGAAAGCCCAGAGGGCAAATAACTTACTTGGAGCCAAGTGAGGCCAAAGTTGAGACTATAATTTCATATCTCTTAGAGAGAGATGCAGGACTATTTTTTCTCCCTTCCTCCCTCCCTCCCTTCCTTCGTAAATATTCTTGACTACATTTTACCCTTTTATTTTTTTCAGAATAAATCCTCTTCCAGTTTACAAGTCTATTTTGCTCTTGTCTGGAGAACGTGGTTGTGGGAAGTCTACTCTGGTCGCCAACTGGGTGAATTATTTCAAAAAGAAATACCCCAGCATGTTGATGATCCCTCATTTTGTGGGCAGCACTTGTGAAAGCAGTGACATCATGTCCGTGATACATTACTTCATCACAGAGTTACAGTACAAAAACTATGGTACTGGAATCAAGCCTTTAACTTTGGTGAATTTTGTTAGAGATTAGATATTCTGTCTGCTGTTCCTACAGCTGATTTCCTCTTGTTCCAGTGTAAACGCTGTATTGTCTCCCACCTCTTCCCCTCCCAGAGTTCAATTTCCTTCTTTCTTTTCGTACTTCCTTCTTTGACCAAATATTAATTGAGTACCTTTATGTGCCAGGGCACTAGGCAATGGGATGCAAGAGTGAACAAAAGGAACAAAAGTCCTTACACTCATGGTGTTTTTATGTTATTGGGGTGAGTGAGACAAAGAGTTCACCAACTAAAAACCTAATACAGAAGGTTGGATGGTAAGTTCTAGGAAGAAAAATAAGACAGAGCCAGAAGGGAGGTAGTGTGTGGTGTGTGTCAGAACGGTTAGGGTTTGAAAAGGGTGGCCTGGGGAAGCCTCACTGAGAAAGGGACCTTTGAATACACACCTGAAGGAGGGCGCCAAGCAGGTATCTCAGGGATTTCATTCCAGCCAAGGGAGACAAGTGCAAGGCCTCCATGGCAGGATGTGCCTCCCAAGTATTGCTCCTCCTATTGGACTCCGTAACTGTTTCTTTTTTTTAAAGATTTTATTTATTGGGGCGCCTGGGTGGCTCAGTTGGTTAAGCGACTGCCTTCGGCTCAGGTCATGATCCTGGAGTCCCGGGATCGAGTCCCGCATCGGGCTCCCTGCTCGGCGGGGAGCCTGCTTCTCCCTCTGACCCTCCCCCCTCTCATGTGCTCCCTCTCATTCTCTCTCTCTTAAATAAATAAAATCTTTTTTTCTTTTTTAAAGATTTTATTTATTTATTTGAGACAGAGAGAATGAGAGAGACATAGAGCACATGAGAGGGGGGAGGGTCAGAGGGAGAAGCAGGCTCCCCGCCGAGCAGGGAGCCCGATGCGGGACTCGATCCCGGGACTCCAGGATCATGACCTGAGCCAAAGGCAGTCGCTTAACCAACTGAGCCACCCAGGCGCCCTCCGTAACTGTTTCTTGAGCATGTTCATTTACTCACGTGCTCATTCAGTCACCCATTGCTGAGTATTTATTGGTTGCTTCTTCTGTGCCAGACACTTACTTCCCTGGGTTCTGGGATGTCCACCTCAGGAGAATAAGGTCATGGCTCCCACAGATATGATGTTCTAGTTGAGAAAGGCAGATAACAAATAAACAAGAAACAAATAGTGATAAACGCCATGCAGAGTGATGTGATAAGGTGACAGGGTGCTAGTTAGGTTGAGTGGTCCAGGGCTGCGTCTCTGTATTAGAATAACTCTAGCTGTGGTGACAACTAAGTCCCATTTCAGTGGCTTCTTGAATGAAGTCTATTTCTCACTCATGGAACAATCCAGTAAGGGGTTCTTAAGTTAGGTAACAAGTGGCTTTCTTCCATGTGATGATTTGGGGACACAGGCCTTTTCCATTTTGAGGCTGTGTCATCCCCTAGAGCCTTGGAGTCCTCTGCCTTTGGCTAGAGGAAGAGGAAAAAGGGGGGGGAAGGCACACCTGTTCCTTTAATGCCTTGGCCTGGCGGCGATCCAGATCACTTCCCCTGCCATTCTTTTGGCAGGAACTTGGCCACCGTGGGCCCACATGGCCACACTGGGAGTCAAGTGGGGACAGAAAGCTAACCCCACCCCGGAAGGGGGAGTGTGGACTTTTGCAGGACAAGTAGCTATCTCTGCTATACTCTGTGAAGATCTCATGGACAAGGAGGAGCTAGCCATGTGGAGATTAGAACATTCCAGGTGGAGAGAACAGTTAAGGTAATACAGGTCCTAAGCCAGAAACAAAGGTGAGTTAGAAAGGAAAGCAGGCCAGTGTGACTGGCAGGAGGTGAAGGCCAGGCCACTTTGGGTCTGGGCTTTGTTGCACAGAATATTAGGTCAGATTCTGTTGAGTACAGTGGGAGGCCAATGGGGGATCTTAACCAGGGGAATGATACAATATGATTGCTATTTTGAAAAGATTAAAGTCAGTCTGATGTATGAAAAATGGATGTAGGGGAGCAAGTATGGAGGCTTGTTAGAGGCTACTGCAGTGGTCCAAGCAAGCGATGACGGGGGCTTGGGGAGGGCAGGAGCAGAGGAGGTGGAGGGCTTTCGCTGGACTGAGAGTCTCCTGAGAAATTGCATGTGGGGCTTGAAGGACAGGAGTTGAGGACAGCTTTGGGAAGCTAGATAGATGGTGAGGGCTGTGTACTGAGATGGGGCATTATCAGTGGGGTGGGGACAGCAGGTTTTGAGGGGAATCAAAAGAGTTCTGCTTTGGATGAGATTTAGTTAAGATACAAGGTGTCTATGGGGAATGATAACAGTTGTGTGGGATCTACCTCTGTTCTAGGAGTGGTTTGGGAGCCCGACTGCTACTTATTAGCCGTGTGAGCTTCGGTGAGTTATTTTAACTCTCTGTGGCTCCATGTTCCCAGTTTGTAAAATGTGGATAATAAAATAAATGTCTTTTAGGTAGTTGAGAAGATTAACTAAGGTAAAGTATGAAAAATAAAGACACTTAGCACAGTGCTTGGCATAGAGTAAGCACTGATAAATAACAGCTATTATTATTAATGGGTGTCTGCTGTGTATTTGCATGTCTGACCCCACGTGCTTTGGGGAGCTCATCCCTTCTCCTGTGGGGCTTGTAGCCAAACGTGCATTTGGGTATTGAGTGTGTATGTGGGGCTCAGAATGAGTTTCGATGGATGTGTATTATCTCTATATGATGGGACAGATATTTGAGCTCCTTTGTGTGAGTGTGTATGTGTGCGTGTGTGTGTCCGTGAGTAAATAGGGTAAACACGTGGGCATGAGTTCTCTGCGGTTGCATTTCTCAGGGCATGTAAAGTGGGTAAAATCAAAATCAGTAGCAGCAGGTATGACTGGTTCTAGAAGACAACCACTGATCCTGCTCAGCCACAGCCCAAGGGGGTTCAGTCTGGCCAGGCTGAGGAGATGAACTCTACCGAACGTGCCCAATTATGATTTTATTCCCAAAGCGAATTGTGATTTTAATGAGTGTGGTTTTAGGTACCGAAAGCTCCTGATAAAAACAGCTACTGTCTTCAAAACAAACAGATCTTGAAGTTGACAAAGTAGAATCAATTCAGGAACAGCCTGTGAATAGCAAACACTCAGGCGACACCTTGTGTCCCTCAAAGGATACCCCCACCTCATTAACAGCATGAGGCCAAGGGCAGGGGCTGGGCTTCTGCTCTTGGCCCACCTGCATCTTCCATCCTGGCCCTGCTACTTACTAGCTGTGTGCTCTTGGGCAGTTTGCTTAAGCGACGTGCGCCCCGATTTCTCATCTGCAAGATAGGGGTGGGACTAACAGTATGTACATAAAGCTGTGTGAGGAGTAGAGATACTACAGATAAAGGACTTAAAAGAGTCCCTGGCACACGGTTGCTGTTAGTATGATTGCTGTTGTGATTATTATTATTATTCCTCACTGAGCTAGAGAAAGAGGCAGAGGGCGGGGGCCTGCTAAGGGAAACAAGAAACTTCTGTTCATTAGCTAGACTGGGGGTGGGGGGCCAGGCAATGCAGGAGAGTTTGCAGCCACAGCCAGGGAGGAGGCTGAGGGGAAGCACCGCAGCTTGGCCGCGGGAGCCAGGAAGCTGGGTTTCGCCTGTGTGAGGTGGATGTGGGGGAAGAGGAGGAGCTGCTGCTGAGAACACAGCTGGCCCGGAGGTCAAGTGCTTGGAGCACATTCGGCTTCTTTGCAGAGCCGTTCCCTGGGGGCTGAGGTCCCCTCAGCAGGGTACAGCCACAGCTCCTGCGGGCGCCCTCCCTAGAAGGGACACTGGAATGCCCCCCTGCGCAGCTCACATTTCTGCTCCTCTGGCCTCACCCCTGCCTGCCTGGGTAGAGGGATCTTGCAGATAGAAGGGCCTGGAGTGGGGCGCCTGGGTGGCTCAGTCATTAAGCGTCTGCCTTCGGCTCAGGTCATGATCCCAGGACCCCGCCTCGGGCTCCCTAGCGGGAAGCCTGCTTCTCCCTCTCCCACTCCCCCTGCTTGTGTTCCCTTTCTCGCTGTGTCTCTCTCTGTCAAATTAAAAAAAAAAAAAAAAAAGACGGGGCTGGAGTCCACTCTCCCCACTCCCACGCCCCTCGCCTGCCTCACAGGCTGCTGATGTTCTTTCTGTGACACGCTTCACAGAAGGTCAGGAGAGAGCCACTGACTTTCTTATTTACATGTTTCCTCGCCTTGTTACCCCCAGAGCCCGGCGGCAGCCCGAAGAACAATGAGTTCCATTTACTGAACTGGCTTTCTGAGTGCCGGGCTCTGTGCTAAGGGCTTTATCAGCATCTTATTTAATGCTGTCAGCATCCAGCATTCTCGCCCCAGATAAAGAGATGGGCTCAGAGTGGCTGGCTCACGCAGCTATGTGTGGGCAGAGCAGGGCTTCAGACCAGGTCTTTGCCCAGCTCCAGGCCCCTCGTCCTCATTACTGCCCTGTCTTGCCTCCTTGAACCAACAGAGGGACACTTCCTCTTCTGAATGATTTCCATTGGGGTCCTCTCGTAGCATCAGTTCCCAGGAGAGTCTGCCCTCAAATCAGTGATGTGGAATGAGCAGAAATACTAACAGGACTTCTTGGCAGGGCTTGCCAAGCCTTGTGCCCTAGGCCCGGCTGCCTTCACCAGGGTCTCTGGCCTTTTGCACCATGGGTTTGGTCTCCCTGGAGCAGCTAGTCACTTCGGTCCCTCCTTGTCTGTCCATTTCCGTTCCCTTCTACTGGAAGGCCCCTCCCTTTTCTCAGGTCAGTTGAAATCCTTCTCCTCCCTTAAGCTCTACTTTTTTAAAAAGATTATTTATTTATTTATTTGACAGAGACACAGCGAGAGAGGGAACACAAGCAGGGGGAGTGGGAGAGGGAGAAGCAGGCTTCCCGCAGAGCAGGGAGCCCGATGCGGGGCTCGATCCCAGGACCCCAGCATCATGACCCAAGCCGAAGGCAGATGCTTAACAACTGAGCCACCCAGGCGCCCCAGCCCTATTTTAAAGAGCACCCTC